TTGTGTCCAGGAGTGTAGTAGTATTTTTTCTTAAGTTTGTTTGCTACATTAAGCTTGAAATGTGGCTTAGACAGCCACTTCGTGATATAGTGCCGCAGATGCTTCTTCCGCATTTATTTCCAACACAGCCATTCCCTTCTCAGAGAAAAGTTAAACGTTCGTTTCCGGAGCAGTAGCAGTGTATTCTTGCGGTTTGCCATGCATCTGTGTGAGACGGTGCCCCACTGGGAAGAGGGGGAGTAGATATTGAATGAAGCCATGCGGAGCAAGCAGTAGTATTATATCTAGTGTATACTGTTTTGATATCTTATTGTGCTTCCTGAAATCGCATTTCTTTTTTGTGGCGCGTATTTGTCCGATTTATGGTACATTTGGGACAGAAAATTTCTGAAACTTTAATTTACTCGACGTTGTTAGGAGAAAAATAGCCACAAAATTAGTTTCTAGTTTAGGGTCAGGATTAGCAATAGGTCCGAGCTCCATTCAAAATCTATTGACTTTTTTATATCTAGTCATTACTCGACAACCGGTGCTCTCCTGCTCATGAGCACTTAAGCTTCGCCAGCAGCGTCAACAACCCCTCAGGCCCCTCGAGAGCGTTTGGCGATTGAGGGACGTGGAGCCGGATTACGTTTCCTTGATAATATTGAGATCTGGCCAAGGATCAACGTGCCACGACCTACAATTTCATTTGCATTCTACCCACTGTAGAATGAGGAGAAATGGAGCTCAAGCGGATGCAGCTGTTGCATAGCCGAACGGAAGAGTGTGCACGACGCGGAGATAGAGAACAAGATCACCAAGTAGAGCGCGCGCGACGTGAGGAAGCTGACCGTCACAATGAGCTGTTTAAGCACATGATGGTAACAATGGTAGTTTCGGTGATGAAACCCCACGAGTAAGTTGCAGGTCAATTTTTTGAAGCAGCTCATTCGGCAAGTTTCAAAAACAGTGTATTAGCCGTTCTATCGGTACTACTAACGTAAAACGTAAATAGAACTGATTGATCCCAACGATGCGCGTGCGCTGAGTACAAGATGCACTTCCATTCTCCTCTCTCCTCGTATTTCAGTCGGGTCCTGTACCGTGGACAAGGCAGCCTTGCAGAGCAACGCATTACCAATCCAGTTGTTTGCCGTAGAGAGAATAGCTGTCTTTCTAACTGCCATAGGGCGAAACGGACGGTCTTCTCAACGCTTTCAGGCAGGAGTCATACGCCACACTCGGAAAATGTCGAATCAACAACCACCTGCCCGCCTGTAGACGGGTAGAGCCGCTGAATCTTCGCGTACACATTTCCCTGCTCTGCTATTTGGGAATCATGCATACACCCATGTGCATTTAGCGCGCACGCAATCACTAGTCTGGCGGGTGAAAGCACGAACACGCCGCTAACATAGTGATCGTGCGTTCAGCCGTTGTAGAACATATTATGAATCTCCGAATGGCATGATGCTTGTAGACGAGGCTTTAGTGTATCCATAACAGCGTTAACGGCGCTCAGAAGTGGATACTTTACGCTTTAACGTCTTGTAGAGTGTGTTCACGTCATCTAGATCAGGAAGCTTAACGTGAGTCTTGGTTTCCCTTTTCAATAGCAGCACTAGAATACATCTTCCGAAGCGCAAAACGAGAGACATCACTGACGTCGTCACACCTAAACAGAGACTAAGAAACGACGTCGGCCCGACCGACCAGCCCC